ATGAAGAAACCGGGCTTGTTTTCTGACCCTGGACTGGTTAAGGCAGATGTGGGTGAGATACCTGTAGGGAGGTGACCATGGCAGTGTTTATATTGATTTTGATTTTGCTCTTTTCCTCCCAGATTTGTCTGGCCAGTTCTGACCCTTTTCCATGGGTCCCGGCCAGAAGTTATATTCTTTGTGTTCCATACTGTATATTCACTGTATTAAAGTCACTTTTCATTAAAGCTTTATATGTTTTGTCTTGTTGCGGCGGATGGCAGAACCCACTTAGAGCAGGCAGGTTTTGGGGCTTCAGGGGTGCCTCTCTCTGAATTGAGGTGCCCTATAACACTTAGAAGAACCATTGCTGTCAAAATCCCAGTAAAAACCCCCAAAGGAAGAGGAGTTGGTATCTAGTTGCATGGATTTTGAAACACTAAACACTTGGGGATGGTAATGTTTTTTTCACTATTTATCTGTCTCCTGGCAATTCAACCCTTAGTCCACCTCCTCAAGCAAATAGGTTACTCCATGTTCACCACCCCAGGGAAGGGAGAAACGAACACAAAGTGCTCGGTTTAGGATGAAGAGGATTCAGGCCCCAGGCAAAAGTTTCACTCATGCTGTGCGCATCGGTGCAGTCTCCTGCCAGGCACAGAACTAGGACATGGGATACACAGTGGGCCAGACACAGGACTAGGGGCTGACATTCTAGAACAGAGCCTTAGAAACAGGTGTGCTTCCCCTGGGCTGGAGAGAGGGAAAGAGTGAGAAATGATGAGACAGGAGCCCCAAACCCTGTGTGTGAGTCCCAGCGCCTGCATCCCCATAAAACTGGACATAAGGCCCTCCCTGGTGGCACAGCGGGTTAAAGCACAGCACTAAGAAGCTAAAGCCACTTCTGCATGAGTTCGATCCCCACCTGCCCCGGAGGAAACCCACATGGTGAGGCAGACCTCTCCTGACCCGCCTGCTGCTCCCCTCAGCAGTGGGCTTCGTCAGTCAGCCTGTTCTGCAACCCACTCTGTCTCTGGTGAAGCCTCTCACCCTCTGCATCTCTGGCCTGTACCCCAGTTCTGTATGAATAAATAAATAAATCTTAAAAAAAAAAAACTGGACATAAGCTGGGGACCTGCTCTGGAGCACTGTGCCCTGCTTCTTGGACCGTGGCCCAGGAGGGGACAAGAGCCACATGGGTTATGGCTGCCAGGGAGTCTGGGTAGATGGAGACAATCGACCTGGATTTTTCCATGTCACCAGCAGGTTGAAGCCTCAGAATGATTCTCAAGCTTTCAAGCATGGAAGGAGCAGTGGAGGAGAGCAGCTGGGTGCTTTGAGGACAAATGCAAGCTAAAAATAAGAAGCTTAACCCTCCCTGCTGAAAGTAAGGAGACCCCCGCCACTCCCACCCACACACACACACCACTTTGCTTAGGGCATTTACTTTAGCAAATTTATAACCATGCATTCTTTCTCTGCCTCTGAAATGCAAGTAAATCCTTTTTAAAGTTAGATAAACCTTTGGCCGATTTGACCGATTTGACCGATTTGACCGATTTGACCGAGGACTGGCTTTCTCCAGAACCTGGGGAGGATGCTTTGGAAGGTAAACATTCAAAGGAGCACACCTGTGGGAGGGGATCCTACCTCTTCTAGAGAGGATGATGGCTCCTTTGCATAAAGCCCGTTGGCCACCGCCACCAGGTAGAGTCTGGATGAACTGCCTGTGGCAATGGTGCAGCCAAGTCCCCTTCCTTGGGGACTCATCGCTGGCCACTGGGAGAACAGGGGTGGACTGGGCTGCATGTGCCTGACTGGATGAAAGTGCATCTTGCTAATAATTGGCAGGCAAAGGCTAACCTCCAGGTCATCACTGTTAAGGTCTGGAATGGATTTAATCTAAAGGCCCTCCTCTCATCTCTGTTTCTGATCATGGGGCCACTGATGTCTTTGTCACAGAGAATGTAACCGCATTCGTCTCTGCTTCTCCCTCCCCTTCATAACCACTTGCTGATAATCACTGGTGGCCTGCCTGCCGCCCCACTCTTTCCCAAATTCAGGTCCTCGAGTCCTTCCCCGCCAAACTTCAAAAATATTGCTTGGTTTTTCTGCTCATGAATTGGGGTTCTCTGATCAGTGTCCGGAGTCTCAAGCCTTTTCCACCACTCCCCAGCTAGTTCTGTTAAGGGGAAGGATATCCTAAAGGAACTCTGCAGAGTCTTGTGGACTCCACCCTCTACTCTCCAGCTCACACTCACGCACTCTCGCATGCACTCTCTCTCTCTCTGGGGAAAGGCTTTCTTTCCCTGGGTTGTTTCCTATTTGTAAATAAACCCGCTATTGACCCTTTTGTGTGTGCCTGCAGTATAACTGAATTTTGAGCGCGCTGGTGAGGCCCCACAGACAGGCGGCCCAGTCCACTCTGGGCTACCCTGTAACAGTTCGACCACATCATCTTTGCAAAATGACTGAAGACTGGACTGAAGGAAGAAAGTGCTTCTTAAAGGTAAAAGAGCTGGGCCCTCCCTGGTAGCGCAGTGGGTTGAAGCCAACACTGCAAGCCAGCCACAGCCGCTTCAGTGCAAAGTAGTTCGATCCCCAGCCCTGGAGGTGACCCACAGGGCGCAGCAGACCTCTCCTGACCCGCTCACTGCTCCCCTCAGCAGTGTACTCCATCCATCTGCCTGTTCGGCTCCCCGCTCTGTCTCTGGTGAATCCTCTCACC